GGTCTAGGCCCGAAACGTCAGCCTCTCTGCTCCTATGATGCTGCTTGGCCTGCTGTGTTCATCCAGCCCTGCACCTTGTTGTCTCGGATTCACCAGCATCTGCAGTTCCTACTATCTCTGATTCAGTTTTAGATTCCACTAGCTGCTGCAGTGGGATTTGAGTTATGTCCCCAGTGCATTAACCTGGCCACCAGGATGACTAGCCCACAAGCATTACCTGTATAGTGCAACATTTCACACTTTGGTCGTAGCTATAGGGCAGGGATGTGGAGTTGAGGCCAAGGCAGAGTCATGGAGTCATAGAGATGTACAGCATGGACACAGACCCTTCGGTCCAACACACCCATGCCGACCAGATACCCAAAATTAACCTAGTCCCAAGTGCCAGCATTTGGCCTTATATCTCTCTAAGCCCTTCCTATTCATGTACCCATCCAGATGCCTTTTAAATGTTGTAATTGTACCAGCCTCCACCACTTCGTCTGGCAGCGCATTCCATTCATGCATCACCCTCTGCGTGAAAAAGTTGCCCCTTAGGTCCCTTTCACATCTTTCCCTTCTCACCTTGAACCTATTCCCATTAGTTTTGGACTCATCTTCCTTGGCTTAGCTATTCACCCTATCCATGCCCCTCATGACTTTTTAAACCTCTATAAGGTCACCCCTCAGCCTCCTACATTCCAGGGAAAATAGCCCCAGCCTATTCAGCCTCTCCATTATAGCTCAAATCCTCCAACCCTGGCAACATTCCTGTAAATCTTTTCTGAACCCTCTCCAGGTTTAGAAACATCTTTTCTACAGCGGGGAGATCAGAACTGAACGCAGTATTCCAAAAGTGACCTAACCAAGGTCCTGTACAGCCTCAACATGACCTCCCAACTCCAATAGTCAATGCACTCAATAAAGATGGCTTCAGCTATGATGTATCAAATGGCTGAGAATGCCTGAGGGACTCAACTGCCTACTCCTGCCCCTAGTTTTTATGTTCTTATGAGGAGATGCAAAGATATACTTTGAAAGGGGGTATAAACAGTGCTATGTTGGGGTGTCTGCACATGAGACTTTGAAAGTAACCAATCACAATCGGAAGTTGTCAAATATGCAACTATGTTCCACAATATTTTAATAAAGGAATATAGAACATAAGCAAAGGTGCTGTGCTGGATCTTTATCCTTGGCCCAGAGGCAGTGGGGCAGATTAACTGGGTCAGTGGGGCAGGATAGATTGATCTTAGTAAGATAATAGGTTGGCACAACATTGTGGGCTGAAGGGATTGTATTGTGCTCTACTGTTCTGTGTTCTATGTATTATGTTCTTAAGGCACAGTTTCATGGAACATAGGATGACGCAAGGAAACATTTTTGACTGTGTGACTTGTAGTCTGATGGGAATTGGAAACACAACCAACAGTGAAATTCAGAAAAGAATAAAACAAATAATCAAAAGGGAAACAGTCACATGGATATAGAATAAAAGTCAGGGTGTAAAATTAACCCAACCACTCTGCCAAAGAGATTTTGACTTTTTAACTAGTAGTGGTCAACAAGAGGTGAGCAGTGGTGCATGTGGATTATTCCATGAGGATTTGATGGTTATATACAAGATAATGTCGCACAAAATAGAACTCAATGGTCTGGGGTAAGATGTTAGCACAGACTGAGGATTGATTAATGGACAGAAAGCATTACAGGAATTAAACAGGCTATCTTTGGGTTGGCAGGCTACATCTAGTAATCAGTGTGGTATGCTGGCTCAGTGGTTAGCACTGGTGCCTGACATCACTAGGGACCTGGGTTCGATCCCACTCTCAGGCAACCGTCTGTGTGGAGTTTGCACATTCTCCCTGTGTCTGCGTGCATTTCCTCCCAAAATTCAAAGATGTTGCAGGTTATGTGGATTGGCCATGCTAAATTGCCCATAGTGTCTAGATGGGTAGGTTAGGAGATTGGCTGTGGGAAATGCAGGGTTATAGGGATAGGGTAAGGGTGGGTTCTGGGATGAATGCTCTTCGGAAGGGCAATGTGGACCCGATGAGCCGAATAGCTTGCTTCCACACTGTAGAGATACTATGATTCTTTCTTGATCAGTTTTAGAGTCATAGACTCCCTACAGTGTGGAAACAGGCCATTCAGCCCAACAAGTCCACACTGCTCCTCCGAAGAGCATCCCACCCCGACCCGTTCCCATGTCTAACCTACCTAACCTAAACATCCCTGGGCACTATGGGCAATTTAGAATGGCCAATCCACCCTAACCCTGCAATCATTGGACTGTGGGAGGAAACCGGAGCACCCAGAGGAAACCTATGCAGACACAGGGACAATGTGCAAACTCCACACAGAGAGTCACCCAAAGGGTGGAATTGAGCCCATGTCTCTTGTGCTATGCGGTAGCAGTGCTAACCACTGAGCAACTGTGTCACAAATTAAATCAAGTATTCAATGAGACAGATGGATGGCACAGTGGTGGTATCCCTATCTCTGAACTAGGAGGCCTGGGTTCAAGTCCCATCTCCCTAGAGGTGTGTATTAATATCCCTGAATGTGTTGTTAGAAAGTATTTAGAGAAGGGATCTGTATGTGTTATATTCAAGATAGATTATTAGTTGGGAACATTAGCTGGGAGGAGGCAGAAAACATGTCATCAGGTACAGTGCGTGGAAAGAACAGAGCAAATAGAATATAATGTGATGTTAGCTTCAATGGAGGGTAAACATAGGATATACTGGAACTTTTTTCACTGGACCGTAGGATGTTGAGGGGCGATCTTATAGAGGTTTATAAAAACATTAGGGATATAGATAAGGTGAATGGCGGGTATCTTTACCCTAGGGCAGGGAATTTCAAAACTAGGGGGCATATTTTTAAGGTGAGAGGAGAAAGATTTAAAAAAGACACGAGGCGCAATTTTTTTACACAGAGAGTGTTTCATGTGTGGAATGAACTTCCAGAGGAAGTGGTGGATGTGAGTACAGTTACAACATTTAAAAGGTATTTAGATAAGTACATGAATAAGAAACGTTAGGAGGGATATGGGCCAAGTACAGACGGGGGGCGGGTCTAGTTTAGTTTGGGATTATGGTCAGCATGGACTGGTTGGACCGAAGGGTCTACTTCAGTGACTCTATGACTCCATAAGCAGAATATTTTATAGGTTGGAAAATGGCGTCATTCTGAAAGACCCAGATGTTATTATGCAGAGGGTAAGTGTAAAGAAGTCTGAGTACAATTATTTAAAACATTAGTGAGGCCACATTCACGGCTCTGTCCACTATTGGTACTTGCCACAGACGGCGGGCAAAGACAGTTCACTCAATTAATTTCTGAGGTGAGAGGAATAGACTGAACCTAAGTTTTGATGATTGACATTCTTATGGGGCTTTACAGGGTAAGGTATTTCCCCAGGGCTGGTGAACCTAGAATACAGTCAAAGGTTATAGAAGCGCCCATTCACGACTGAGATGAGGAGTAATTTCTTCACTCAAAAAGTTGTGACTCTTCAGAATCCTTCACCCCAAAAAGCTGTGGATGCTCAGTTCAATTAAATTCAAGACAAAGGTAACCAAGGAAATGAAGAGAGACGCTGGTAGTGGGGGAAGGTGAGGCTGAAATCCTAAAGAATGGTGGAACAGGTTTGAAAGATCAAATAGCCAACTCATGTGCCCTACATCCCTTTGCCTCCTCCTGTAATGCATCATTCTAACAATCCATGATTCTCTCAAACTGCTCGGACACATTGAATAAGATCACTGTTCAGGGCTTAAAACGCAAGCCAATGTGAGCCACATGTGTGCAAACTGTCTTTCTATTTCTAACTGTTGGAGTCTGATTGAAACATAGAACGTTCTGAAGGAGCTTTGCAGGGTAGATAGTGGGGTGGCATTTCTCCAGGGCCGGTGACTCGAGAACGTGGCATCCTGGCAGTGGTTACCATGTAGTTAGAATGACCCGAAACGTCAAGCAAACCAACTGCAAGTCTGTTGTACTCTTTGCACCAATTCAGCTTTTCACAATTCTCCTTCAGGAAAGGGAAGCTACAGAACAAACCCAGTCTGGGACTGTATGTGACTCCAGTCCCGCACTCTGTGGTTGACTCCAATTGCCCTCTGTAAGAGTCAGTCAGATTAATGTATTTTGGTTAAGATACGGAACAACATGTCAAGCAGAAGGCTTGCTCTGAGTGATTCAATGGGGTGTTGGCAAAGTGTGGGGAACTGATGAACAGCGAAGGGCAGATAAAAACCGCACGTGCTGTAAATCAGGGACAGAAACAGAAATTGCTGGAAAAGCTCAGCAGGTCAGGCAGCATCCGCGGAGAGAAATCAGAGTTAACGTTTCGGGTCGAGTGACCCTTCCTCAGAACTCAGATGTGACGTGTGCTGGGCAGATGATCATTCCAATCAACACTTGGTCCACCCTGAAAGCGTGCGCGAGGGGACCAGGAGCCACTTTGGTACAGAGAGAGAGTCCATCTCAACCCACTTACATTCTCTCTTTCTCTTCCTGAGGTCTGCCATTCAGGAGCTGTGCGTAAAATGCCGTCCTCGGAATGCGGTGCTGACGGTATCATCCAGGAGGAGACTGAGGCTCTTTCTGACGACCTGCTGGCTCCTGGTCACCATGGTGATAGCACAGTTTGTCCCTGACATCAGTGAAGTCATCAGTCTCATCGGGGGCATCAGCGCCTTCTTCATTTTCATTTTCCCAGGTGCAGCTCAGTGTACACAGGACGACATTATTCCAGGATGCAGGGATTAGAACCGTCCTTGCGTGAGAGTGACTGTATTCCAGGAGCTCGCCTAGACAACTGAATGACGTTTCCCTTTATTCTCCTACTCTCTGCCCTGCCGTGCCCACTCTCTATGCCCATACCAGGCTTCGTCTTGCTAGTCATTACAGGGTACTTATCTCAGAGCAGCAGCAGCTGGGAGGTGGCGACACAGTTCCGGGAAAGCCTATAAATCTAGCTCAGTGCAGATTTGGGCCTAGTTTTTAGAAGGCACTTATCTCAGAGCAGCAGTAGCCAGGAGGCGGGGACACAGTAACCGGGGTAAGCCTTTAAATCTAGCGCAGTGCGGATTCAGGCCTAGTCTTTACAGGGCATCATGGGTGTCTGCAATTTCCCTTCCCGATTACTCAACCGGTTGCCCATTCTCATTTCCAAACCTGGTTAGTGCAGCCACAGAGGCTTCCGTGACCATACTTAAATTCTGTACTCCCCCAGACTTCAGTCACTTCCCAGGACCATAAGACATAAGGGCAGAAGTAGGCCATTCGGCCCATTGTATTCTGCTCCAACATTCCATAAGATCATGGCTGATCTGATAATCCTCAGCTCCACTTTCCATAACCCTTCAGTCCCTTACTGATTAAACCAGTCTGACCATCTCAGCATTCAATATACTTACTGACCTAACCTCAACATCCCTCTGTGATACAGAATTTCACACATTCACTACCCTCAAAGAGAAGAAATTTCATCTCAACTCTGTCTTCAATGTTCAACCCTTTACTCTGACACATTGATCGATTGATTGATTTATTGCCACATGTACCGAAATAGAGTGAAAAGCTTTGTTTCTGAGCCGTACAGGCAGATCATTGTAGGCAAAGGATGTACTGATCAAAAAGGCATACAGGTTACATTGCACAGGGCGTGCACGAGGCAAGATTAACATTAGCAAGATCAGTGTTATTGGAGGCTAGACAGTCCATTCATCAGTCTCATAACGTCCAGGAAGAAGCTGTTCCTGAACCTGCTCGTGCGTGTGGATAGGCTTCTGTATCTTCCGCCTGATGGAAGACATTGTAGGAGATCATTAGTGGGGTGCAATGGGTCTTTGATGATGTTGGCCTCATTTCTGCGGCAGCGAGCCATGTACATCTACCCTGTCATGTGCCCTCTGAATCTTGTATGTTTCAATAAGGTCGCATCTCATTCTTCTAAATCCCAATGGGTACAGGCCCAACCTACTCAACCTCTCCTCATAAGATAGTTCCTCCAGAACTGACATTAGCCTAGTGAACCTCCTCTGGACTGCCTCCAATGCCAGTATATCTTTCCTTAGGTAAGGACCCCTAACTGTTCACAGTATTCCAACTGTGGACTGACTCGTGCCTTGTATAGTTTCAGTAAAACCTCGCTACTTTTGTACTCTATTCCTTTTGAATTAATAGCCATTTGCCTTCCCTGCTACCCATTGGATTTGGATGTTAGCTTTTTCTGATCCGTGGACGAGGTCTCCCTAACTCCTCTGTTCTGTGGCGTTCTGCTTTATGTAATGGGATCTTTCCTCAACTCCACACTAAGCAGAAGCACGTGTGACAAAGAGGGAGCGCACCTCAGTGAAACATTGCATGAAATGACATTCAGGACTGATAAACACTCACAGAGTTGTAACTCTGAGCTTCTCCCTCTCTCCCTTCACGGATTTGCTGAGTATTTCTGGCCTGTTCTGTTTTTGTTTTAAATTTCAGTGTTGATGTAAGTTACTGTTCATGTCTGATCATCTCCCTTCTCTCCTTTGCAGGCCTGTGTCTATTCTGCACCATGCAAACAGGGCCCATGTCTCCCAGAGTCAGGTAAATTGCAGCCAATGGCAGTCAGCATCTAGCTGCTGCTTGCACTTGTTCTGTTTTTCAGATAATGTTATGGAACAAACCAAACTCCTTTCAAATATGTTAAGGAGACAGCCTAGACCCTGACTTTTATCTTAGTTAAAGGCAAGTGTAAGGTGCTGTGATCCAGGTGTAATTCGATTGGTTACACTAGTCGGCTCTAAGCAAAATACACTTTATTCTTACACTGAAAACAGAAGAGAGAATTGGTATAATTGACTCTATTGGAAAACTTAACAGAATAATAGGTTATTTAACTACTAAACAGCAACTGTTCCAATATAGTAACATCCCATAAACACACCCTTGGCGAAGGTAAATTCAGTAAAATAGATTGTCTCACATGCGATTGTGGCAGCGGGAAGAGAGAACCCGACCTTTTAGCTGTAACAGAGAGAGGAACAACAGCTGCCAAAGCCAACTTCAAAACCCCAGCTACAACCGAAAGCTAAATTAAAACCCTGGTTCTGTCGAAGCCTGACTCCTCCCATTCAGGTTGCTTCTATCGTGCTAACTTCAAATTAAAAAACCCCAAGGCCTCACAACCTGTTTATTGGGTTCAAAGAGACAGCTCGATACTTACGGCTCAAAACATCTCTTCAAAAGGCCAGGACAAAATACACCTCTGAAAGCAATAGTATTGTCACAATGAGACCCCCGTACCTGTGTCTCACCCTCCTCACCAGCTCCCCCAACCCCCTCTCAGATCTTTCAGTGCTGTTGGGAAGAAGAGCAACCTCTTATTCCTTGAATACTATGGCAGAGGTGTGGTCCTTATCAGACTGCTGTGTTTGAGAGCTTGCTCTGCTCACACATGCTGCCACATTTTCATACGTTGATACAGGGACATACTTCATACAGTCGTCGATATCTGTCACATAGAAAAGGGCTTCGTCCCGTCAAGTGTGTACTACTCACAATCAGCCACTTAACTATTTCTAATCCCATTTTCTAGCACTTGAACCATCGCCTTGTCTGCCTTGGCATTACAAGTGTACATCTAAATACTGCTCAAATGTTCTGAGGGTTTCTGCCTCTATAACCTTTATAGGCAGTGAGTTCCAGATTCCCATCACTCTCTGGGTGAAAATGCTTCTTCTTATGTCTCCTCTAAACCTTCTGCTCTTTATCTTAAATCTATGCTCCCTCATCATTGATCGCTCCATCGAGGGAAAAAAATTTCCTGTCAAATCCATCTCATCATTTTCTACATCTCAATCATGTTCCCACTCAATCTCCTCGGCACTAAGGAAAACAAACGTTTCAAAAGAGCTTCGTCGGCTGCAAAGCATTTTGGGATGGCCAATGGTTGTGGAAGGTGCTACATAAATGCAGGGCTTCTTTTTCTTTCTTTTCACCGAGCAAAATTGGACTCCAGGCATTCAGCGTGCATCTGTTGGAAAGGGGTTACCTGTCAGAGGATCACAGCAGGATGTGGAAAACAGAATCCCTGAGCCTTGACAATAGCCAGTTAGACCTTTCAATAGCCTCCAGACCTTGTAATTGCAACCCTGCACCCTGTGCCCATCCAATGTCAGCATGGCACAGGCCTTCACCTGGCTCTTTTCCCTTCTGTCATTTCCAGGAGCAGTTGGACTGCCCATGTAAGGTGGAAACCCTCCCTCTCACTCACTAAGTCCTGCTGTGGAGAGCCTGATTCTTCACTCTACTGTCCGATGGCAGTCCAAGACAGTGCTACAAGGGCATTCTGAAGGATATTCTTTCTTAAAAATATTTGCTCAACGGATACGGGCATTGCTAGCCAGATCATACAGTCATAGACTTGTTCAACACAGAAACAGACCCTTCGGACCAACTCTGTCCACGCCAACCAGATATTCTAAATTAATCTACTCTCATTTGCCAGCATTTGGACCATATCTCTCTAAACCCTTCCCAATCATGTACCCATCCAGGTGCCTTTTATATGTTGTAATTGTACCAGCCTCCACCACTTCCTCTGGCAGCTCATTCCATACACCCACCACGCTCTGCATGAAAATGTTGCCCCTTAGGTCCCTTTTAAATCATTCCCCTCTCACATTAAACCTATACCCTCTAGTTTTGGACTCCCTATCCTTGGCTATTCACCCTATCCATGCCACTCATGATTTTATAAACCTCTATAAGGTCACCCCTCAGCCTCTGACATTCCAGAGAAAATAACCCCAGCCTGTTCAGCCGCTCCTTGCAGCTCAAAACCTCCAACCCTGGCAACACCCTTGTAAATCTTTTCTGAACCCTTTCAAGTTTAACAACATCGTTCCAATAGCAGGGAGCCCAGAAATGAATGCAGTATTCCAAAAGTGGCCTAACCAATGCCCTGTACAGTCGCAACATGATCTCCCAACTCCTATTCTCAATGCCCTGACCCATAAAGGCAAGCAAACCAATTGCCTTCTTCACGTCTCCTTGTGACTCCACATTCAATACGCTATGAACCTGCACCCCAAGATCAGACCAGTATTTATAACGCATCCGGAAATGTCCAGAGGGCAGTTAAGAGTCAGCTACATTGCTGTGGGTCTGAAGTCATGTGCAGGTAAGGACTACCTTCCCTCATTAGTGAGTCAGCTAGATCACAATAGTTTACTTCTGAACGCAAAGCTGTGGGCCAAGTGCTGGAAAATGGGATTAGAACAGTTATGTGTTTGTTTTTGATTGGTACAGACTCATTGGGCAGGAGGGCCTGTTTCTGTGCTGTAGACTTCTAAGCCAGTGGCTACATAGGGTACCATTCCTCTGGCATTTCATTCCAATTATTATTGAATTATTATTCTTGGCCACAGAGAATGGCCATTTGGGACTGAGATGAGCAGAAATTCCTTCACCCAGAGAGTGGGGTGTCTGTGGAATTCTCTGCTACAAAAGATGGTTGAGGCCAGAACATTGAAGGTTTCCAAGATGGAGTTCTTAGGGCTAAAGGATATGGGTGTAGAGTAGGTACGTGAAACTGGGTTGGATGATCAGCCATTGTCATATTGGATGGCAGAGCAGACTTGAAGGTTCTTGATTATCAAGGGGATCAAGGGTTACTGGGAGAAAGCAGGAGAATGGGGTTGAGGAACTTATCAGCCATGATTGAACGGCGGGGTAGACTCGATCGGCCGAATGGCTTAATTTCTGCTCCTATGTCTTATGTTCTTATGGATAATGAAGGGCTCAATGACCTATACCTACAAAATCAATTTCCACCAACTGCCATGGTTCTGCTTGAAACCGCATCCCTGAAACATTAACCATAGGCTCGGGATTATGAGTAGAGTGACACTGCCTTCCCTTAGGAGCTCTGATACCAATGCAGAGTCCCGGGAGGAGATCGCCCAGAGCTGCCACACCAGGCATGCCCAGCTGGAAAAGCCGCAGTTCCTCTTTCAAAAGCGAGTGCGTGATTGAGGTAGAGATTAATGGCAGAGAGAGACAGCCATGAGCCACCAGCTCATTCCAACATTGTGTCCGACATTCATTGTTCTCTGCGGAAACATTTGTGTGCGGATCAGTCTGGGCTGTAAGCAGCACACCCACCGGATGCCGACCTAACTCTCCCGGTGATGTACAATGTCATATCGCCATCAGGAAATGAACCATCAAGCAGAGGGCGAGGTATGTAGCCACATACCAGCTTTGGCGAAATGGCAGCTCTCCCTGGAGGCGGTCAATTCTCATTCAGAGTCTCCCAGGCAGCAGATCAAAGTGTTGACATTATCGCTAGGCTATTAACCTGGAAACTCAGCTAATGTCCTGGGGCCCCTGGTTCAAATCCCACCACGGCAAACAGCGGAATTTCAATTCAACATCAAAAAAAATCCTGAATTAAGAATCTACTGATGACCATGAAGCCCATTGTCGACTGTTGGAAAAACCCATTTGGTTTCACTCATGTGCTTCAGGGAGCGAAATCTGCCATCCTTACCAGGTCTGGCCTATATATGACTCCAGACCCACAGCAATATGGCTGATTCTTAACTGCCCTCTGAAAAGGCCTAGCAAGCCATTCTGTTCTGAGGGCAGCTAGGGATGGGCAATAAATACTGGCCAGCCATGACGCCCATGTCCCAGGAGTGAATTCAAAAAAAGGGTGGGGACAAGCTCATTCTGCCCATCAAGTCTGTGCTGGCTCTTTGAATGAGCTATCCAATCGGTCGCAGTCCCTGCTCATTCCCTGTAACCCCGTGATTTGTTTTGTCAGAAGCATGTAGCAAGTTTCTTTCGAATGTTAAATCTGCATCCAGCCCTCTTACAGGAACATACCGACTTGCTATGTTAATCAAATCTTTAATCAGCACCCTTTGGGTCTGGAGCAGTGAAATCTCCCAATCTACATGATCAAAACCCTTTGTCACATTTAACATCAGAATGAAATCTCTGATGTCCACCTCTGCTCCCAGGAGAGCAAATCCACCTTCTCAAGCTTCTCCTCATCCCCACTACCATTGCAGTAAACATGACCTCTGAGGGCTTTGACATTGATCATAGGTTGGTGCCAAAATTAAACACAGTACAACAGCTAAGGCTGCAATACCTTTTATACCCAGGCATCAATTTTGTGACAGGCTGTAGGAGGGACAGGGAGAAAGGATTGGCTGCAGTTAGCCAGTCCCATAAGATAGCCTGGTACTCTGAACATGGGCACTATCAGGCAGTCACACAGACAGTGTCAGAGGGTCTGTCCTTCCGCTGAGATGTTACACCAACCATAACCCTAACCATCTCTCCTGTCAGCTGGATACTAACAACCCGGAGATTCTATTTTCCACAGGAACCCAGGGAGTTTTCCCTGGGCACCTGAGTAATATTTCTGCCTTAACAAACATGCCTTTTGTTGGTTGTATGGTACTATGCTATCTTTCCTGGGAGGTTGCTGTGCGCACATTGTATGCCAACTTTCTTTGTGGCATGACAACAGTGCCTAAACTTGGCAAGGTGATCGTTGGCTCTTGCTTTTGTTGGTTGCTGCCACTTTATTGGGTGACTGTTTTGCCTGCAGGTCGTCTTTGATGGTCTGGGGAACGATTACCATCCTGTGTGGAGTGTTCATCTTTGGACAGAGTACAGCCAGTACAGTGATCAAGTTGATGGAGGGACTGATCTAAACCCTGCGAGTATGGAATCCGAATAGGGTTCACTCTGTGTTCGGTAGCAGTGAAATACCTGGGGTTAACTGTCAAATATCATCAGCATGTTGTTTTGTAAGTGCATGTTGCTGTGTGTGTGGATCTGTGGGGCATGTGTGTATATCTGTGTGTGTTGGCTGTGTGTGTATCTGAGTGTGTACATGTGTTGACCTGGATGTGTGTATGTAAATGTGTATGCCTTTATCTGGATGTGTGGATGTATCAGTGGGTGTGTGCATGTGTGTTTATGGGTGTGTGAATGTATTTAGGTGTGCTTGTGTTGTAAATGTGTGTATCTGAATCTGTCTGTATCTGGGGTGTGTATGTGTGTATCTGGTCCTCGAGAGTCTGGATATGTGTAACTGTGTACCTGACTGTATGCTGTTGTGTGTGTGTTTATGTGTGTGTGTGTGTGTGTACACGCGTGCTTGTCTGGCTGTATATGCTTATGAGTATATTTGTGAACGTGTGAGTATATGTGTGTATATGACCATTTGTGTTTGAATGCGTGTATGCGTGTGTGTGCGCGCACGTGTGCTTGTCTGGCTGTGTATGCTTATGAGTATGTTTGTGAATGTGTGAGTATGTGTGAGTGTATATGACCATTTGTGTTTGAATGTGTGTGTGTGTGTGTGTGTGTGTGTGTGTGTGTTTGTGTGTGTATGGGGGTGTGTGTGAGTTTATGAATGTGTGTGTGGGTTGGATGTGTACATATTGGGTGCATGTCATTGGGTTTGTATGATTCTAAGGGAAGAATCTTATTGGGATCTGAGAAATGCAGGCTATGAAAAGATGTATGGGAGTATCAGACAACAAGTGCAGCCAGACCCATCTTGACATTGGGAGCATTTTGCATCGTGTTTTATGCTTTCCACAAATGGCATGGTGAGATTCTCACTAGGCAGTGGTGAGTTCCCAACAGACTGTAAAACACCTTGTTAACAGCCCAACTCACTTCATTAGCATTCAGAGTTCCATCTTGCCAAACCCACCAAACAAGCTCGACATCAGGAAGATTTGGCAAGGGAACCATGGTGAGCATCTGGTGGATTCAGTTCGTTGCTTGGTCTAAATGACCTCCATGTTGGAAACCAGGCACCAACATCTCAGAGTGTGCTCCAAGGGCACAAACCACGTGCAGCCTATGTCTACAGACGTTGGCATCCGACATGTGCCAGCTTCCATCAACCCTCATGGTACATCTCTGATCCACCTACAGGATGTTTGTGAGCTGAATGCTGCATCTCAGGCGACCCTGGCAACTCTCATTGTAAGGCTACAGCAAGGGCGCTCGGGGACATGCCACCCTGCGCTCCCCACCCCCCAAGCTCAGGGACTGGACCAGGCTGCATCTCCGAGGTCTTCCCTCGCTGTCACAGCACTCACTCCTTCTGAGCCGACCCGGATGCACACAGCATTTTTGCCTTGCCTTGCCTTTCCGCATTTTCTCCCCCAGCCAGAGCTAGCACTGTACTGTTGCCTTGACCTGCCATTTAACACAGACACAAAGCCAGCAAGGTGGTCATATTGGGTCGACAGGCTTCTGTCCATTCAAAGGGGATAACTTCTGAAGTCAAGTGCAACATCTGATACCAGTCCGAGAGCTTGGAGACAATCAGTCTGCCGCAGGGGCAGTCGGAGTCAGGATCCTCTCCTCCTAATGGGTAAAGAGCTGAATATAAGGTGGCACAGCCTCTACCTCAGGCCTCTCTACTCTATTATGGTCTCCTGGAATGAGAGATAGGCAGGTTTCACAGATGAGAGGAAGTGACACATTGTTACTGTTGGTGCAGGTGCCCTGAGCGAATGAGTGGGCAGAAGGCACTTAGGGTTAGTAACGTAAGGGGTTGGGGCAGCTGGCAGTGAGTGAGAGAGGATATCGCAGGCAATAGAGTGTGGTAGAGCATGAGCTTCGGTGGAGGTTGGGTCTGGTAGTAGAGATATTGCAGAGAAGATGGTGGCACTTACGCTAACAGAGTGGAGGAGTTCAATGACGGTCCTCCTGCTGCGCATTCCTCCAGACAGCTGATACCATGCTGACCCAGCTGGTAACCCCAGGCTGGGCTGGTCCTGGGGGAAGCGGAAGTGCTATCTGTGCACCATGCCTCTGGCATAACCCACAGGGCCCTGCCCCACAATGCACTGACTGTCCAGGGCAAATGTGTCAGGGCAGCTTGGGATTGATGCTACTTGTCTGGGTCCACAACAGGCTGTGAATTCTGGGATATCTACTGAGTGACAAGTTGTTCTGGGAATGGCGGGTGTTACGTTAGGGTGGAAATCAGAGGGAAGAGGTGCAGTGGGGCGGGGGGGCTTGTTAAAGAGACGGATTTGGTAAAATAGGGCGAGAAAACTCATTTGGTGGTGTGGTGAAAAACCCTTCAAAAACAACTCGGACTTAGTCAATAAAGGTGTTGTATGTGGCTGTGTGTAAGTGTGTGTGTGAGAGTGTGAGACTGTGAGTGTGTGAGACTGTGTGTGTGTGAGAGACTGTGTGTGAGACTGTGAGACTGTGTGAGTGAGTGTGTGAAGGTGTGTGTGAGTGTGAGACTGTGTGAGTGTGAGACTGTGAGTATGTGAGACTGTATGTGAGACTGTGAGTGAGTGTGTGAATGTGTGTGTGTGTG